TATTTATTATTTCTCAATTCAAAATAGCATTTTAGAAAATGGCAAATGAATGCTATGCCATAAGCAACTTTCAAATTATCACGCGCTTTCCAGCGGGGTGACGTCACATGTATAACTTTCTAGTCAAGCAGATAGTCTAAGAAACGCAATAATTTGCACGATTTCTTCTATTTTGTTTTGCGTGAGATACCATTAATTTTACAACCCCAAACTTCGTATCTCAACATTTGGCGTCATGTTTTCAGTGTTGAGAATAAAGCCTCTTAGCCACTGGAAGAAATTTTAAAAATTCAATAACTTCGCGAAAGAAACTATTGGGACTTGTAATTTCTGTTATTAGTTCAGATTTGTCTAATTAGCGCGTCAAACCAATTGTGAGACACATTTATCACAATTTCGCCGGGGCTCCCTTAAAATTGTTTTGACACGTTTTCATGCTCAAAAGGTGGACCTGGGCGTCTAATATCCGCTTAAAGCACTTATCGCAAATACCAAAGTGCTTCTAAGGCGGTCATCCAAGTTATTATTTATAATTATCTCGTGACACCAGACTTTATTTTGTTTGATTTTAATCGCGTGTTTCATTCGTAATTTAGTTTAATATTATGAATTTAGCGGTCACTGACTGCCCTGAGCTTAGCGACAGTTGAGAGCGCTCGTCATTCTATGATAATGGTGTCACAAGAAACAGTATAGGACAAAAATACAAGAACAAAGTATTAGCACGTCAGCTCCAATTTGATATCAAACTTTATGGTGATTATAAGAAAACAATTACACCATTAATAAAAGACGCAGACTAGAAATCGTTGCACGTGCATTAAATGCACACTTGTCATGGGATATGTTTTATATAGGGCAGGGGAATTGATCGATTACCCAACAGATTAATCGATGAGTGCGTTAACACTGTGCACTTCTTCCCTCCCACCTTCGTTGTTTTGCGCACGGTTTCATTTATTCGCAACTTTAACCGATGGTGGTACCGCGGTGTGAGAGTCGCGATCCCTAGCTCCTGGATGATAGGCTTCAGAATAAAGGTGCTTGCTATCCCCCCTCTGGCGTGAAGAAATAAAGTAAGGCTCTAATAGAGCTCATTTAGAGCAAAACAAGAACTACTTACACGTCGTAGACCCAGCCTCGTACCGCTGTTCTACGACGATCATCCAACAGCCATTTTGATGGGCACCAGTCCGCCCCCTATAGGTCGTGGAAGTTGCGAATTGCATAAACATTAAGCGGCTCGCCCACATCCCCGCTCTATTTTAATCGCGATTAATATTTTTATCTGATTAATCTGCAAAATTTAGATGACGAAAAGAAAGCAAAAATATAAGGCTTTCACCACACACACATGGATGAGTACATCTGTATAAAGGGCAATCTTTAGGTGAAATTTTAGTCTAAAGTGAACAGTAGGGGCAAGATTTGCAGCTCCAGATAAGGGCACAAGGTTACAAATGTACTGGCCACTAGAACGGCGTTCGATTGTCCGTTCAGCGCAACAGAGCGTATTGTTTGTGCTCGTGCAGCTAAAGTAATAACCTTTGACCGTGAGTGTCTTTGTACTGCTCTCCATTACATATCGATGTGGATTAACCATCGCAATTGTATATTGCGCCGTTTATCGTACATTCTGCAACGAAAAAATGTTTTGACTTATATACGATATATATATATATATATATATACGTATGTATGTATGTATATTAGGGCTGGGCAATTGATCGATTCTTTCATAGATTAAAGGGTGGCGATTTATCGGGATAAAATTTTAATGGACTCCTAAAACGTACACAACATTTAAAATTGCAAGAGCTAAGGGTAAAAATTTCCGACCACTTGCGCAAGCTTGTGGTTCTGACATGCATGAAAGAAAAACACTTCAATTATTCTGACAGTACAGCAAATTGTGCATTTTCATCTTTGACATGGAAAGCAGAGTCAGTCAGTCGAAATACTCTTTTACAGCCGAAAAATAATAATGGGTTCTAGATATTGATCGTAAAAAAGAAAACGTAAAACGAAGATAAAACCAGTCACTTCATATTCAATTTCATCAACGAAGGCAAGCTCCCCGCGGCTTCACACAGCACTCTAAGAAACGCCTGCGCGAATACTTACCCGCAAAACACTCTAACAGCCAATCTCTGCGATCTACGAAATCAGACCAGCAAATGATGAGGCGGAACATCCGTTTAGATCTAAAAATGAAGTCTGCGCTGTGGCATTACGCAATGCAAAGCGTCATGCTTGCGTTGTGTAATGCCACAGCACAGACTTCATTTTGAGGTCGAAACGGATGTTTCGCCTCATGATTCACCAAGCTGATTTCGTAGATCGAAAAAATTGGCATGGCTGTTGGAGTGTTTTGCGGGTAAGTAACGCGCAGGCATTTCTTAGAGTGAAGGAAGTATAACAACTTTATAAATAACACAAGTTAACATACCTTATAATAAGGCGACCTAATAGCTGGATCATTACGCACAATATGACATAGCCCCTAACGAACTATGCATATTGTCGCGTTAGTGTAACCTATGAGGGGTGTTTGCTGGGCAGCATACTTGAGGCCGCTATTTGCTGCGCAAGCCCAGAGCTCAATTCCATTTCATCATTTTCCATTAAAAACTACCCTGAATGGATGGAGTGCACGTCGTTGAACGTGGAGAAATGCGCGTCCGATCCAACCAAGGTTTTTTGTTATTGGTGTGCCACAAATTGGGGCGTGTTTTGAGAATCCGCCGCGCCCAACCACCTCAAATGTGGTGCCTCGTGAATATCCCTTATGGTCAATCTTACATTTTAGTCATACACAACATCTGTTTTCTGATGTTCGAAAAACAAAGTTCTTCACACACCGCGGCCTTAAGACGAAAAATATTGAGACAGGAAATAAGACGGACAAAGGAAAACATTCTTTTAAACGACATTACAGCGTTCGTGCAGCACGAGGTGGAAGAGTGTGCTTCTGAGAACCGTTCAGAACCGGTTCTAAGAACCGTTATTGAGGTATATATTGGAAGCGACAGATCAAAGCGACTCGGAAACAAGAAAATACTCTTCGCTCGAAGCCGCTGTACGTTCCTTAGTACATCGATCGTCTCCAATTCCACCCGTCAAGAGCATCACTGTCTCTTTTCTATTCTGTTCTATCGTGCTTAAAGCGGGGCGTCAATCGGGCCCTGGAGCTGAGATTCGTGCTTCGAAGACAGCGGAACATTGGAATTAATTTCCATCATATTTTTATTAAATGAACAAAGAGTGAAAAAGCTTGCAGGATTTAATACTTAAGATGGCACTATAGGACAAATAAAACTGTGGGCAACCACAAACAGCGTGTGCTGTGTTGTTTGGATTAAAAACGTTGTTCGAGGGTGCCTTTTTTTTTTTTTTTTTTTTTTACTACTTGTTCTAGTTTAGAGACAAACACATTTGTTTGTGATCTCATTTTACTGAACAGTAATACTGCATTTACCCTTACATAACTGAACGTTTAATTCTGCCCGTGTGCTGACTCAACGGCATTAATTTTTACTTTTAACTTGAGTATTGTGTGCCTTTTTGCGCACTTCCCGTATTCGTTGAGTCACAGCCGAGAAGGCTGATGACTTGTCAAGCTTCAAGTTGAAACTTTTCTCTTCTTGTTCTGCCATTTCGTCGAATTACAAGTAGTCATATTTAATGACCCGACATTCTATGAAGCAAAATATACGCAGAGGTGGACAATTAATTACACTCCAGAAAAATCTTAAGACTAACTAGATTACCTTTGCAAATTACCAAGAAATAAAAGTGCCGAAATCATAATTTTATTATTTTCAGAAATTATTTACATTATTTTATAAATATTCTGTCGTTACTTCCCTGTCATAAGATGACAGAACCCACCTTTTTTTAACACCATATACACAGTGTAACAGAGCTGAGTTGTCAAGCTTATCACCATCCTTTCTAGTTGGTACAAGACAACGCATCACTAAATTAATTTTTTTCATAAAATAAGGCGACGGGGAGGCCGCAACAAATGGGAACTGCAAGACAGCAAGACAGCCCCGGCTCCTTACAGCGGCACACAAACAGCGGTTCAAGGGGAAAGAAAAAAAACTTTGGATTTGCGAAATTGTACAATATGGTCAAAATTCAATCAAAATGAAAAATATACAAGCAAAAAGAATTTACATGGTTTGACACCATATACAATTCAATCAAATACATGTATTAACGATTTGGAAATAAATTTCGTCAATGATTAATGATTAGAGATTGCATAGACATTGCATGCTCAGATCGTGACCTCTAAACCTTAACACTTCTTTTCCGCAATTCGGTTGGTGAGGGACCATGTCCCATGCAGTGTTAAGCGTGACGGGTGGTGTGTGCTTGAATCCTTGTAGTCAGAAATGCAAGGCCGCTCAGAAATTGCGGGTTTGTAGTTTCCTCGACTTTCAAACAAGTGCTTAGCCTATAAGTGCATAAACTATATAAAATTATAATTGCAAATTGCTTGAACAGATCAGCATTGTAAAAGTTATATGAAGCGTTGCAAATAATTCTGATCCTATATATATATATATATATAGCAGTATCTTATTTCAATTTTAAAACATGGTCGACCCCCAGAGAATTAGACAAAGTGTCAATAGCTCAACTCTGAGTAAAAAAGGAAGTTGTAATGAGTAACTTCTCGCTTAAACGCAGTTGTTTCAATTTTCCTTGCCTCAAAAAGAAAATTATATTTGTCACTGTTTGCTTGAACGCTTGAAGAATAGAAAGCTAAAAAAAAATTAAATAATTTTGTCTAAATTACTGTTTTGAATTAACTCATTACATTCATAAATTAACGCCTGCGTAAAGTAATAAATTACAGCACATAATGAACATAAGTAATGTACTTACCAGATGCAGCATTTGCAGAAGCTCCCAGGTGGCCGATAGCGAAACCAGGGGATTTTCTTTCTCCCTCGCTCACCGTGCCTGCTGAATTACGCTGGTCGCAGGATGGTTTCGGGGGAGCCGCGGGTGGCTGCGTGCCGTGTCGCTGCAACCCCCGGGGCTCCTTGTCCGAGATATGCGACCCCATCACGGGCTCCTGTCCGTGCCGACCGGGCGTCTTCGGCACCCTGTGCGACTCCTGCCTCGAGGGACACTACGGCTTCACTGTGGACGGCTGCAAGTGTAAGTGTCTCTGCCGCACCAATCAACGTCAGCAGTGAGGCGAAGCTTTCCAATGGATCTTTTTTCTGATCGAGACAAAACAGCGATTTCCCTACCACCCCCTAGGGGGGTTGCACCCCCCCCCCCCCCCCCCCCCCAAAGTTTGTCTGAGGGCAACCCCTAAAAAATTGCTTCCGCCAGAAAAGAATAATATTGTGCGCGAAACCTTTGTTTAGACGCGCTGGCTCGAAAGTGGTTTCTATATGGAGCTAACGTCCCAGTGGCATCAAAGCACGAGCCGTTTCGTCGCCTCTCCTCCGCCCTGCTCGTTGGCTCCTTCTCTGATTGACGTGAAGAAGAACGGAGAGGTTTTCCCGGTGAATATATATTCGGTACTGACATTAAATGCGGTATTACAGTACTGACACAGTGACTGATGTTTTCTGACATTGCCTTTTGCTTTACTTTGTGCTTTCTGAAGGAAATTACGCATTCTTCATAAAATATGTAAACTGTTATGTTTAATGTGGGGTTTCTGAACCTCAGTCGGGCACCAAGTATCCACACGTAGAAAACAGCAAAAGAGAGTGAAGTAAATAGAGAAAAAAATTGCCCCCTTGTGCAACCCCCCCCCCCCCCCCCAAACACACACACAGACACAATTTTAATTCCTGGGGAAACGCTTGAGACGAAACCAAGCTGTGCAAGCTCCAACTACTGTTGGGGTCTGTTGGCGTCTGTTGGCGTCCGGAAGGGGAGTTGGGCTACCCCTTCCTCGAGTCACGGAAAAGAAAGGACAGCTAGATTAACTCTGCTTGGACGCCAATCGTAGCTTTCGCCGCTGCATGAGGAAGGACTCTGTATGTAAAAAAAACCCTCTTGAAACGTTTTAATTTCTCCAGCCGCCGGGTCTCCATCCGACCCCCTTTCTTGACTTCCTGTTTTGGCCGCCAGGCGCCGTAAGGTTTGATCTGGTCACGGATAAATGGGTGCATCCATTCACCTTGGCACTGCGGTGTCTTGCGACGGACTGTGAAAGTAGACAAAGCAGTGGTTTCTGTGTCACGAATGAAAATTATAGTATGTAGCAACACATTATTTTTTTTTTAACTGCGAGAAATGTTTTGCGGATGCTGCCAATATCTCGTTTCATCGATGTCAAAAAGGTTTCTGATAGACTCTTATGAATCGAATTTTCTTCATGTGCCCGAGTGATCTTGAAAAGGTCTAAATCATTCGCCCTCTCGCGTCTTTGTAAAAAGGCGACTAGTTGCTTCATATTACAGTTCCACTTTCTCAAAGTTATTTGCAATAAAGGCTCTCTCGGAAAACAAAAATCAGTGTTAGGTTGGCTTTGACGTATAAATTAATTTAAGCAGATATCTTCAGCGACCTCGCACTTCCTTCGAAGCCCTGCGAATTGCTCTTACCCACTGAAGGAAATCATGTGCCAACCACGCCAGGATGGAACGATTATTTGCAAACTTAACATTCGTACATAAGAGAGTTTTAGTAGATTGTATTCGAGGGCTACGCTTTTCTAGCGGGAGCTCGTTCCGTCCCTTCGAAGCACGGTTTGGGCTCACGCCCGTCGGGACCGCTATCCTCAGCGTACGATCTACTAAAACTCTCTATTGTCTCTCTCAAACCATACCGCTGTCTCTCCTGCAGATATTTATTTAGAAAAAAAGGCCAAGATGCGGTCAAGGCATCTATCTTTCAAAATGCCCAGAAGGGTGTGAGTGTATGTTTTTGTCTTACACGCACGCACTCTCGTATAAAGCAGACGCCAAACGAAGCTACGCACTCGTGCAAGTTGCTTCGACAGTGCCGTACACTATGCAGCTTTTTCTTGGGTCAACGGCGTCCGTACTAACCTTGAGAACTTATTGAATATCTCTAGAATTACGATAAAAAATCATTTTCATTGTCTCATTTCTTCAAAGTGAAACCAAAAACTAAGAATAATTAAAACGCAGATGCACGCCACTAAAACCGCTTCAGGTCAATGATGCACATTTTAAGCTCGCCTGGTTTATATGGAATGACGATACATAGAGGATGGCCCAGTACCGGACACTTCGGCGCTCTCTTCCGCGTGGCCTGGGTCGTCTCGCCATAGGCAATAGCATCGATGCGTTTCAATGAAGCAGCGGAGTGCCGCAATTTTTCGGTTCTCTCAGTCTTTACCTTGAAGATTAACTGCAAGAAGAACACAAAAGGCTCTTTCTGATAAAGTGCCGCTCACTGGCAACACGAAAGATTAATTACATTATGTCTACGGTGTTGGATATCATTGGCATTCCGAGGCAGGACTTGCCTCTCAAAGTGGCACTTAGTTCTCGCTCGCACCTTCGTCTGAAAAACTAGATCTACGGGTCGTTCAAATCCTCGTAAGGGAGTGCAGATTTCCGGCTTCCTTAAGATGCAAAGAAAAAAAAAATTTAAAGAGAAGCTTAGATGGGAAAAGGATATCACAAAACGATTTTATAACAAAAAAAAATTAAGAGCTATATTTACGGCGCTATACGAATTTGTAGTTGGCGCCCGCGAGAGCCGCCGCTGGTCACGTGGTAGGCCTGTCGACGCCGCTTCAACGCGTTTTTCCATGCCCCCGTCGCCGCCGCCGCACAAATTCGTCTGCTTCGGGGCGCCGCCGCCGTCGTCCAACCGGCGCACAGGTCGATCACGTCTGCTTGCGCTTTTTCGGGAGTTCCCTTTGGCCTCTAAAAGTTACTTATTCATCTATGTTTTTTGTGATACTTCAAACAAAAATAAATAAGTTATTTTTAGAGGCCATAGGAAGCTTCCGAAAGAGCGCCAGCACCACCTGACAAATATGGGTCCGTCACGTGATAAATAAGGGCCACTTTTCCGCGGCGCCCGCCGGCGCCAACTACAAATTCGTATAGCGCCAGAAATATAGCTCTAAAATTGTTTTTTCTTCGTTGTAAAATCGTTTTATGATATCCCCTTTCCATCTAAGCTGTTTAAAAAGAATGTTTGTTTCCCTTTGCATGTGTCCTTTAACAATAACCAAAAAAGTGAAAGCTGCTTACAACTCCCTGTAACGCCGAATTAGAGCGCAGCTCTTGAGGAGGAGGAGGGAAGGGCACTGGGGGGGGGGGTTAAACTAACCAGGGGGGGGGGTCACGTGACCTTGGGAGTCACGTGACCCCCAATGCCGATGATGTCGTTACTGACGTCACTGATGACGTCATCAGTGACGATGACGATGCGGGTACCGATGACGTCATTAGTGACGTCACTGATGACTTCACCAGTGATGATGACGATGACGATGCAAATGTCGGTGACGTCATCAGTGACGTCGCTGATGACGTCATCAGTGATGATTACGATGACGATGCGGATGTCGGTAACGTCATCAGTGATGATGACGATGACGATGCGGATGCCGGTGACGTCATCAGTGATGATGACGATGCGGATGCCGGTGACGTCATCAGTGATGATGACGTCATCAGTGATGATGACGATGACGATGTGGATGCCGGTGACGTCATCAGTGACGATGACATCATTGGGGGGTCACGTGACATCGGCGGGGGGTCACGTGACCTCAGGGGAGTCACGTGACTTCGGGGGGTCACGTGACCTCAAGGGGGGGTCACGTGCCCCCCACGAGGTCACGTGACCCCGGTGGGGGGCTCGCGCGGTGCATTATGGGACATTTCCCATGATGCACCGGGGTCACGTGACCTCGGGGGGGTCACGTGCCCCCCCACGAGGTCACGTGACCCCGGTGGGGGGCTCGCGCGGTGCATTATGGGACATTTCCCATGATGCACCGCGCGGTTACGCCGACGCCGACGCCGACGCCGACGCCAACGCCGACGCCGCTCAAGCCGGAAACGGGCCCCTAAGAGCTGCGCTCTAGAACTGCACGTGTGTGTGTGGGGGGGGGGGGGGGGGGGAGTGACGTATTTGTCGTTTTGGCTGTCTATTAATTTACACCGATAACTTCACAAATCAATAAGGAATAGTGACAAAACTTCTCGATCTATTTCACGTAAAAAATCTACGCATCGCAGAACGCTCAAACTCCGCCAGAATGTAACCCTAGCGGTCCAAGTAAAATGCCAAAGTTTCAGAACAATCCGATACCTTATTCAAATGTTATAAGTGATTTTCTGAAAAGTTCAATGGGAAAATGGCGGCCGACAGAGTTTTCAAATATATGGGGCTCTATGGCACCAGAAACCGAAAACGGGCAAAAATGGGCTCCATTTTCCCATTGAAATTTTCATAAAATCACTTATTACTTTTGAATAAGGTGTCCGTTCGGGCTGAAGCTTTGGCATCTGGTTGTGACCACTAGGGTTACATTCTGGAGGAGTTTGAGCGTTCTGCGATGCGTAGTTTTTTTTTATGCGGGCCGAAAAGTAGGGTTTACTTTTCTCGATCGGATCCTGTAGTTCTGGCGTAGATAATTCAAGCTAAAAAATACAGGGTATCCCGAAAAAAAAAAAGTGTTTTTTATTTGCAAAAAGTTAAACTACGCATCGTCGAACACTCACGTTCCGTTCAAATGTAGCGCTAGCAGTCTGACCAGCTGCTAAAGTTTCAGAACAAACCGTCACTATTCAAAAGCTATAAGCGATTTTTTTTCTTAATTTTCAATGCTGCAATGGTGGCCCACAAGCTCACAAATACATGGGCAGTTTTCACATGTTTCCGAGAACGGACCCCGCTCCACCAATAAAAGTTTAAGAAAAGCACTTATTTCTTTTGAATATTATAACGATTAGTTCTGAAAAAGTTGCATGTGATCCGCACCGCTAGCACTACATTTCGGGGGAAATAGCGTTCGCTAATGCGTAGTTTATTTTCGTAATAAAAAAAGAAACATTTTATGGACACTGTGCGGTTAAAGAGCGTTGCAGGGTCCCCCTAGCTTCTACACGTCATCGCTCTCTCTCATTAAACTATATTTCGTCTCCTGTGCTCTCCCTCAGGGTGCGGATGTGACCCCCACGGATCCCTGGACACCCACTGCGACGAGCGCACGGGGCAGTGTCCCTGCAAGCCCAACGTGGTGGGACGCGCTTGCGACCGGTGCAAGGTGAGCCTCTCTGCCTTTTACCTCCGATTCCTAGTGGTTTGGAACGTTTTGAATGAAGAGCCCTGCTGATCACTGAGTCTGAAGGGGATTCCTTGGGTTTGAAGCGTGACATTTGACTCCGAGATGGACCAGCCTCGTCTATAGATTTTGGCACTTTTAAATTAAAACTTCCGTGCGTTTTAGAGCGCAGCTCTTAGGGGCCCGTTCCCGGCTTGAGCGGCGTCGCCGTCGCCGTCGCCGTCGGCGTAACCGCGCGGTGCATTATGGGTAAATTTCCCTGCTAAATCTAGCGGAAAAAATTTCCCCGCTAAATCTAGCGGAAAAATTTCCCCGCTAAATCTAGCGGAAAAAATTTCCCCGCTAAATCTAGCGGAAAAAATTTCCCCGCTACATCTAGCGGAAAAAATTTCCCCGCTAAATCTAGCGGAAAAAATTTCCCCACTAAATCTAGCGGAAAAATTTCCCCGTAAAATGTAGCGGAAAAATTTTCCCGCTAGATTTAGCGGGGAAAGTTTTCCGCTAGATTTAGCGGGGAAATTTTTTACGCTAGATTTAGCGGGGAAAGTTTTCCGCTAGATTTAGCGGGAAAATTGTTTCCGCTAGATTTGACGGGGAAATTTTTCCGCTAGATTTAGCGGGGAAATTTTTTCCGCTAGATTTAGCGGGGAAATTTTTTCCGCTAGATTTAGCGGGGAAATTTTTTACGCTAGATTTAGCGGGGAAATTTTTTCCGCTACATTTAGCGGGGAAATTTTTTCCGCTAGGATTTAGCGGGGAAAGTTCGGTCACGTGACCCGGGGGGTCACGTGACCTGGGGAGTCACGTGACCCCCTCCCGAGGTCACGTGACCTCTGAGGGGGCACGTGTTTGCCCCCACGTGACCCCACCAAGGTCACGTGCCCTCGGGGGGGGGGTCACGTTACCCCCCCCCCCCCCGCCCCGAGAACACGTGGCCCTCAGTACCCTCCCCTCCTCCTCCTCAAGAGCTGCGCTCCAATTCGGCGTTACAGGGAGTGGTGAACGGCTTTCACTTTTTTTTTCTTTGTTTTTATATTGATAAGATTTGATACCCTATTTATAGTGAGACTGCATGTGAACATTCATTGTTGGAAGAGCCCAACAGATAAAACTGTTTTGCTCATGTCGTCAGAGAAAAAACGCTGACATTATTCAATTACGTCAGAAGCGAATACCATTATCCTTGAAAACAATATACTTAGAATTGCACTTTGGCGTTTGATATCCATTGGGTAAATGGTTTTGGGACAAATAGCCTGTAAGGAGTGGAAAGTGGCAGAGTGTGTTTGAACTAGAGAATGTCCTAAACCGATTGTAATTGAATAAGACTGTCGAGCAAGTGCCGCTGCATGAACAGTCGAGTTCATGCTGTTTCTTCTGCCACAGCCCGGCTTCTGGAACCTCGCTTCCCCGAAGGGCTGTGAGCCGTGCGCCTGCAACGTCACGGGCTCGCGCAACGTCCAGTGCGACGACCGCACGGGTCAATGTCCCTGCAAGCCGGGCGTCGGCGGACTGGCGTGCGACGTCTGCCTCCCGGGACACTACCGGTTCTCTCACCAGGGCTGTAAAGGTACGCAATAGACATATTGCTATATTACCCAAGCATCAAGGAGAATGCAGGGACTGGTGTTCCACGTGCCACACGCGCACGCTTTTTCCGTATAAAGAATTCGAAGTAAATAACCAAATAAAGAGTTGACGAACGCGTGGGCAAGGTGCCATTTGTTTTAGGAATTTGCTTTAGAAAAGTTACAACTGCTGACGCCAGCACGTGCAGCGCATGGAACACCATTCTCTGCATTCTCTTTGATGATTGGGTAATTTAGCAATAGGTCTATTATTATTTCTCCCGGGTTGTCTCGTAGAGAACACGTTTCGGGCAGAAAACTTTTAAGGGATGAAGACGAGGAGTGTGCTGGTATACTGTGGCAATTTGGGAAAAATATTAGAAAGGAATGAAAGATGATGACAAGGCTGCATTTCTATGAAATTTGTTGTGTCCCATAGTTGTCCATAACGTTTCTTTCTGATATGTTGTAACTTGTCACTTTGGGAAAATGCTACCAATGTTTACTGGACAATGTTCTTTCTTGTGCATATTGAACTTTCAGGGAAAAACTCAACCTTCAGATTATATAGGCGATTCTGGCCGAGTTAGAACTTCCAATAAATGCCGAAAGGTATTATGGGAAACGGCTATAAAATATCAGTGACCAGACGTGGGCAGGCGAGCAACCGAACTGCAACACCGTTTCTCCCCCGCGCTCTCTCTCTCTCTCTCTCTCTCGTGTTGCGTAGCATATGTCTAGGTAGATGCTGTGCAAGAAAATACGGGATGGGGAGCATACAGCGTGTACAACACGTTCTTACAATTCATTGCGCGCCTCACCTGTGGTCATTTGGAATTTTCGCAAATTATCCCTTGACGGTTATCGAGAGTCCTGGACCATGATTCCGGTTGAGACTTCGCGACCGAAGAAGAAAAAAAATGTTTTGACGTAGTAATCAATGCTCTCTCAAATGTAGTGGAATTCATCACAAAGTCACTTAATCTGAATCACATGTATATTACTTTGCGATTCTTGGCAGAATTGCCTAGAGTAGCAAGACAGGTGAGCGAGAGTGCTATACTCAGTCAGCTCATGCACCTTCATTGGCGGTTGTGTTGTTCTTTGAACGTGTGTGCCCTGGACGCGCAGAGTGTGAGCCGTGCGAGGCTCCAGGTCACGTGTGCGACGAGGAGACCGGGCGCTGCGTCTGCCCCAAGAACACGGGCGGACGTCGCTGCGACCGCTGCAACACGGGGGCCTGGGGCTACGACCCCATCGACGGATGCAAGGTGATCACACGTCAGACGTCGAAGATTGCACATGACCTACCACCAGCCACCATGCTGTATTTCTACATCAGATCGTGGTGGCTGAGAGGAACACGTTTGATAAACTTGTCATTTAAGCGGTTAGTCAAAACTGAAAGCATCACTGTCCTGTAGTCTGTTGCGGCATAAGATGTTCAGTAGAAGCTCCGCCTGTAGTAAAAGCTTTCTACCTTCGATAACAATTCTATTCACGCGCAGACGAAGCACTACGGAAAGTGATCAGTGCGTGGTGGAGGAGGAGCTTTTCCTGTGGATTTTACATTGCAACACACAATAGCTGGTACCGCCATGGTGTTGTATTCATTTCTTATGTGAAGCATACTGCATACCAAGGTGCACTTCTAGTAGGGGTGGCGATGCAATTATAAAAATCGGGCAATTAATTTCAACGCATATCCTTAAAGGCCGACGACCAGTTCGCGCTTTCAACATTTTATCCCCTTCCACCGCTCCCCTCTTCTACCCTCTCCACCTTTGCCTGTTTCCTCCTCCCCCATGGTGAAGAGGATCTTCTGCCTTGCAGAATATCGAGTCTGGTCGTCGGCCTTTAAAGGGGCCCTGCAAAACCTTCTTTACTGTTTTTTTTTGTTTTTTTTTAATTTGCATTGAACTTGAGCGCACTGAACGTAGTAGCTTAACGAAACTTTTCTTTTCTCGAATTTCGCTTTATTTTGAAAGTTATAGACAAACTAAAATGACCAAAACAAGCAAAAAATAACCTCCTTCATGACGTCAGAGATCGCTTGAGTGGCCGTGAACTAGAGGAGGGGTAGTGAGCTAGGCAAGCGCTCACGGCTGCCGCACTCCGTGTTGACGGCTCGAGAGGGCGCCACTAAAGCATGTTCTGGATAAACTGTATGGAGCGGGCAGCCAGGGCGGCTCACATTGCATTTGCTGCGCGATTAAACACTAATTCGGCATGACACTTCATTGGCCACAAACGACAGTAAACACGGGGTAAAGATCAGATCAGAACGGGAGCCACTTCGCGCTGCCATACCGCCAAACGGCCGAACCGCAAGCCAAACCTTCTCGCCGAAGGCCTTCGGAACGCTTGGAACCGGTCGGATCCTCGAGCCCGTAACAACCGCAGGGCCGCCGCGTACATCCGGGACCTTTCTACGCTCGCCGCTCATCGGTGCCTGATCCCACTGCGTATGCGCCCCCTTTTCCACCGCTTGGTGGCGGGTGTGTTGACGGATCATTTCTTGTTTCCGTACTTTATAAACTGCATTTGTTTCTTTTCTGATATAAAATACTGAACAAAAACTACTTTTATAAATAATTGAAACGGTTTGCGCCACTTATATTTTGTATTTCGACTAAAAAGTAGCTTTTAGTGGCTCTGACCAGTAGTAAGCTCAGGACCAAAGGCGTAACATTTTCCGCGCTTTCGGTACCGCGGGTCGCCCCGTAGGTGGAGGAGGTTTCCGCGTCCTCCGGTTAAAATATGACGGATTGATATTTAGTTGCTCACTCAGTGCCCGCTGGCTTGCCCGAGCCCCAAGAGACGGGGAAACCGCAAAAAAGGTAGACGCTTAAATATGATTGCAGGGTACCTTTAAGGCTCGCCTCCATGAAGCAGATACGTTGCTAAAAGGCGACGAATTTCGCTCGGAGGTGTATGCTCTGCGTGTAGCGTCCGAACAAAAGCTGTTGCGCTGGGCGCAAAGCGAACGTGCCGCCGGGAGAAATTTACACCTTCATGTGTTTTATTCTTTCTGTGTATTCGGGAGAAATGTGTCTCTTGTTAGCGGCATATTCGCTTTCGTGAAGCCTATTATTTACCGGACGAAAACTCAAACGTATAATTTCAGGCCGTGTCACGAATAAAGGACAATCCAATCAACGCAATCAGCAACCGCGGAAGCAAAAAGACGAAGCGTCAATAAGAGGTCACTCCAGACATGAACCCGAGAAATACAAAAATCAAGCGGGAGGGTTCTGTTTCTCGCAGTTGTGCGGCTGCAACAAGCTGGGCTCCCTGAGCCCCAACTGCGAGGAACTGACCGGCCAGTGCCAGTGCCTCGAGGGCTTCGAGGGCCAACGCTGCGATAGGTGCCGCGCGGGCTACTACAACTTCCCCAACTGCAAGCGCTGCGACTGCCACCCGGCGGGCACCGACCCCAAGGCATGCGTCGGTGGTGTTTGCCAGTGCGACGAGAGGGGACAGTGCCCCTGCAAGGTGAGCCTCCCGCGCACGCCCCTCCACTCTTCGTTGTGGACATGGATGGGCTGAAATACCGCATTAAACCTTGGGTTTTGTCTGGTTGGTTCATACTGATTCAAAGGTTAAAAATTGTAGAGCCCATCCACTTCACATGAAGATAGAGGACCAGCGAAATTTTTACCTTTACGATAACTTTACGACAACTATACAACATCTATACGATTTACATATGCCAGCGAAACTTTTATTTTTACAACTTTACAACTATACGACATCTATCCGATTTACATATGCCAGCGAAACTTTTACCTTTACGACAACTTTACGATAACTTTACGACAACTATACGACATCTATACGATTTACATATGCCAGCAAAACTTTGACCTTTACGACAACTTTACGACAACTATACGACATCTATACAATTTACATATGATTGCAATGAAAACACGTGTTTAAATGCCTTTATTTCCGCTTGAGCCCAAGTCTCTTTATCAGCATCGCGGAGGCGAAAGAAAAGAAGGTTAGATCGGCGCGTTCTGCCCTCAGCCTCGTCACAGCGCACTCTTACCTGAGATAGGTCGGTGACCGTAGATGATAAAAAGAGATCAAGACCTCACTATTTAATAATGCCAAAGAAGGCTGATTCACGTGGGTTGCTCCCTCTTTTTATTTATCCTTGCTACGACCAATCAGAACGAAGAAGCGCCGTCTAAGCTTGAGTCTTTTGCTACTATCCATGGACGCATTTTTTTTTTTTTTTTTTCAGATCCTAGTGCATAACAGTTTTGCTGTAAAGTGTTAACAAAACAAGGACAATGAAGACACAAAAAGCGCCTGTCCTGTCTTCTTTCTTGTCTTCATTGTGCATGTTTTGTACGCACGTTTCAATCTTATAAAATGCAGTTTTGAAGAACCAGGGTGTCCTGGATTTCAATGTGTGCTCCTGAATGACATTTTGGAGATTGTGATGTTTTCGAGCTTTAACCGAAATTGGTGTTTCCGTATTATTATAACGTGATTTACCACAGAAAGGTGACTTAAAACGTTACACTCTTAGTGGAGGTCAGCCATGATGCTATCTACAGCAATAATATATTAGATTCAATTTAAACAAGCGGCCTTTTAGCCGACCATGGACTCAGTAGTGAGCGTACATTGTCCCGTGCTCTCGTCTGCAGGTGAACGTGGTCGGGAGACAGTGCGACCGCTGTCGGGAAGGCGCCTTCTCGCTCGTGGAGAGCAACCCTCGAGGCTGCACCGAGTGCTTCATGTTCGGTCGCTCGGAACGTTGCAGTCAGGCCAACATGGTCTGGGGCCAGGTAAGTCTACATTTTCTATGCGAATTCGCTGGGCACTGAGAATAATGGTAGGAGCAAGAGGCGGCGAACAAAGAAACAAAGATACTTTTCTTCTAGACCACAGCTCAAACTGTGTGGGTCTTTTTTGTTACTGTTGTTGTTGTGAATCTCGTTGCTTTGTTTTTATGCAGTTTAATAGATGCATCGATTTAAAACGGACCATCGATTGTCCTTTTTTCCACCTACGTCCAGCGCATTAAGACTCAGTTTCAATTTACATCGTTTGCGGTGTATTAAATCCTACTTTTGTACTTTACTTTTGACTCGTATTGTGATAGCATGAATGCGTCACTCTGAATTTGTTTTTATATATGGTTTTGAAATGCATCGTGCTAACCATAAGAAAACCTTCACAAAAATAATTATGTTCAGTAAAAAAACACAGCTTAACAGTCAAGCAGTTAAAGTATGTGGTGGTAGTTTATCACGATGGGCGTACGTCATAGTAAACTCACTGCCAAGCGCACCATAGTCTGTACACCCCTCTTTTGCAGGGTGACCAGTTACTATATATAAATGTCACTCTGTGCAGGTAAAGCTGATCCTGACGTTATTTTTCGCAGAGTCCTCGTTTGTATTTAAGCGCGATATTACAGCCTGAACTCTATCACAAAACCGACATACCTACAAAAGATTTTTTTGGTGAGTGTTCGTGCGTGTGTGTGTTTGTGTAGGTAATAATTTAAGGTGTCTTTTCCAAGAGTACCCATTTTGTTTCTCCCCCAAAGATTAAACTTTTTTTTTTCAAACCAGATGGGAGAAGGTGACAGGTCAAATATATTCCCTATAAAAACAGAGCTGATTTGTATTTAAGCGTAACATCACACTGCACGAACTGTGTCACGGTACAAAACCCGCAACAAAAGTTGTTTTGTTTGTGTTTGTAAGTGTGTATGTGTGTGTCTCTGTGTGTAATAATTTAAGGTGGCCTTTCCAAAAATACCTGTTCTGCTTCTACCCAAAGAGAAACTTTTTTTACAAACCATATGGGACAAGGTGGCAAGTCACACATTGCCTAAAGAAAAAAAACTCGAGGTGACACTTTATATACGCACCCAATGTAAAAGACCTGGATTATCCCACGGCAGGTGTCAACACCTCGAAGGGACGTGACAATGACCGTGGGCGAAGCAGAGCTGGACAGAGTGCATCACTACAGAGTCATACCAGGGACGCGGCCAGGCTCAACTCTGCTGCCCGTGCCCTACGTTCTGGACCAGCCGCTCTACTGGTCTTTGCCAGACCAGTTCCTGGGTGACAAGGTGACCACAGTCTAGACTCTAGACAAACTTACTGGGCTGGAACAGGTGTTAGCTTCCTTGCGAGTTCTCAAAAGAAAATGTTATGATACTTAAGGATTTGGGGGCCTCCTAATTTTGAATCGCCTCCAAAAACTTCTAAACTGTTTTCAGAAATATATTCAATACGATCCACACGACGAAAAATGTAGAACCAGTATTCAAGGCTGCATTTGGGCATACTTCATTGTTGAAGTAGCATACATTTTGCCTTTATTAAGGGGCACAGAAACTGTAATGAAAAACTCTTGAACAAACTGAAATTTAATTTCAGTTGTGTACGTATGAACGAAAGAATAATGCCAGTTTGTGTAATGCCATTCGATATACGGAACAACGAGAAACCTAGTGTGTTTCGTTTTAAGGATTTAACAGAACTCAAACAAAAGTTCTGTCAGATTTCTACGTAAAATCGGAGTGCCCATTTAAGAGTTGGCCATGATCAGCAGCCATCTCCTTGTGCCCAGGTTCTATCGTATAATGGGAAGCTCCGCTTCCGGGTGGAGAGCCGTTCCCGGGACGTGTTCCCAGAGGCCCAGCTGCGCCAGTTCCCGCTGGTGTTCCTGCAAGGGAACCACCGCATATTGCTCGCCCACCGCCCCAAGGAACCCTCCGAGACGGGCTTCTACTCCGTGCCCCTCCACGAGGTGAGGGAGGTTCATGTGCCTCGTTGTTCTCTACACCTAAACTATGGTGTCTGGAAGCTGGAACTCGTTGGAAAGTGCTTAGCTTATCGCATACTCATCTATGGTCCTTCGATTTCCGCTTGGTAACGCCATAGAAGCGTCATATTGTTGCATGCTGCAATCCTAGCGAAGGCCCATCAGCGGAGGTAGACGCGGCAGACATCTGTTCTGGTGTATGTGGTTCTCGAGCTTGACAGACCACGGAAGCTCCAGCAGTCTAGAGCTGGAACGCTACAACGAAAGCGACACTTGCGTTCGCTCACTCTTGCTGCCGGAAGGTTTTCAAACAACTGCCAGTATCCTGACATACGACAGTGTGACACGCTGGCAGAGGATTTAAATTGTCGCAACTTCGGAATCACTTTTGATGCGTGACCAGTATAGGACGTTGAACATACCAGTGGGAAACGCCCTCTGGGCACTGTGTCTAAGTTTCTCCAAAGCCTAAACCCTCAGTCTCCTTATGTTTGCTGTAGTAATGAGAGAAGGACTGCGTAAACTAGGGACCAATACTATAATTGCTGGCATTTCAAAACCAGAATAAATAACATGTTTATGAACGCGTTCTTTATTTGTTTATAAACACGCTCTTAATTTGTAGCAGGCGTTCGAAGCTCAAGAATAAAGAAGGTTGCTTACGAAGTGTACTCGGCACCGCTGCCAGTGGTATCGGTGGAACTAGCTAGGTTATTGGAAATAGCCCAAAATGACAAAATGTATCTATGGTTTCGGAGCAGCGAACTGTGATGGCTACAGTAGATTCCTGTCCAAGCATCCAAAGGTAAAAAAAAGAAAGGCGTTCGCGAAAAGAAAGAAAAAAAAATCGTATCCTTAGATGTTTGCACCACCTAGTTGAATTCAGCGGTTGAGTTGAGAAAACCGCCATGACAGTCGTCAAAAGAACACGGGCCACTGGGAATCGGGAAAAAATACATTTCATTTATTTTCTCTCGGGGCACGTGGGCATTACAAAGAGGAGGGAGTTTCAACACAAACATATATGAGTATATCAACGAATAAGGCAAAAATAGTAACAATGACTAAGGAACAGCGAAAAGATTTGTAATCGCAATTTTAAAATCAGCGTCATCAGTTATTAGGACAATGAACTTTCAAGTGTACAAAAATGTTGCAGGTCTTATGTAAGCCTTATGTCCGATCGTGGTATATGTTAGAGCCTTCATTTGAAGGCATGTATTCAAAAAGGCACAAGCAACCAAAGAAACATTGCATATCGTTATTTTTTAACGTTTTGTCGCATCTATGCGTTAACATTTTCCTGCTTAAAGGGCAACTCCACTCAATTCCGAAAAATTTAGGCTTCCATGTGATTCACATTCACAAAGCACTACTAAACAACTCTACGTCTTCGGATTCGCGAAATGTGGAATATTTGTGTAATCCTAATTTAAACATCAGCAGATACCGAAACCGAAACTTCGGTTGCGTCAGGCAACATTGGTCTTGGGTCGTCAGAGTCGTGGCAGGTCACGTCGAACCACGTGGTCTTGTGACGCTCGGGAGAAAGCAAGAAACCGAGCGAGGTCTTTTTTTTTTTTTTTTTTTTTATTGGACGCGGGCAGGTCGCTCCGCATGGCGTGAACGGTGATGGCCCGGGGGCGAGGGGGAAGGGGAGAAGACAAAAGAGGAGAAAAGGAGCGGAGAAACAGACCGATAAAGCGCGATCCAAACCAACGCTTCTTTTTGCGCCTGTAGGTCGTGCGGCTGCGGATGTGACGCATTTCGTAGCGTTTTTGCTGTTTCCGGGCGCGCTTTCTGAGTCAGAACCGTGCGCTTTGGTTTGGACGGGCGAAACTTCGGCACGAGCGCACAAGCAAAGTGCAACTGCGCCAGACGGCGAGAGAAAGAGAGAGAGAGAGAGATCGCGTTGTCATGTTGGAAGAGAATAAAAAGGGGGGGGGGGGGGGGGCGGGGGAGGAGAGGGCAGCCAGACGGCGAGAAACGCGGAGCCGGAACTAGCTTGCCCTCCACCGATTGGCCGGGACACAGGAGCGCCCTATACGTCACCGCGCGTTTTTGTGCGCGTTGAGAAAGAAGTTGAAAACAACCAACTTTCTTGTGCGCGCCCGGAAGGAGCGAAGAAGCGGCGCGACGTCACGAAAATGCGTCACATCCGCAGCCGCACGACCTACAGGCGCAAAAAGAAGCGTTGGTTTGGATCGCGCTTAAGCGCGCAGGGCAGCGCATCCCAGGCGCATCCGTGTTACGGTGATCACGTGAACGCCCGGTCAGCCAACACCACGAGGAGAAACTCATGACGTCATCGTTCAATTGCGCTCTGAGAAGTAAAAACAAACAAAACGTGAGAATGACGTATGCATGCCTCTGACGTAGTGGCTCAACGTTGGCCGCTCCAACTCCGTGGCATTGACTGCGCTGGTGATTGCGCCTCGCGCCGCACGCTAGAGTTGGCAGATTTCGGCGACTTGGCACGCTTGAAGGTTTGCTGGCCAGTTTATTAAATATATAAACTGAATTAGATCGTAATATTTGACATGGGGTCTTCCTATATGATACTGAAGAGGGCTACATAGTTTTCTAAATATCAAAAATGAAGTGGAGTTGCCCTTTAAGGTAGTATTATTTATTTTATCCTAATAATCTTTATTTTGATGTTTCCACAAATATTATTAAACTTAAGACCTATTGATGCCCACATCCAGTGCGAACAGCGCCCCTTATCGAACCCAACAGTGGAGCATAAAAATGAATTGCATTGAGATGACTATCTGTTTTAATGCGAAAGCATTAACTGTCCCACGGAGCGAAGCCGCCGTTTTCTGTAGCAGCGAAACGGCACCTAAATTCCCACTGGCTGCGACGCGTTATGTGACCCCATAGCAACCGTGTCGTCGTTGTTAAAGAGCTGTGCAACAATTTCAGTGATTTACTTAAATAAGTTGGGAGTCGGTGCCTTGACCTTTCTGAAGTAAAGAACAAAAAAAACGATTTTGCCTGCATGTCCTAGTTTTCATTTTAAAAATGGACAAAGATTGAGGTTTTCGGCACCTCTCAACTCCTTCGCCATCTTCCGAGTCACGTGCGCTGTGACGTCAATCGGGGTCGCGCGGGGTTTCGGTGAAGCCCTATCTTTAAAAACAAATAACTCCGACTTGCATAACAACACCAACAATTTATCAGACGTTTCGTCTCCCATGCGGGAGACATCATCAGTGCAGCCTGGGAACGTACCCGACTAGCTACCAGCAATTTAACGCTTCTTCTCCCTTCTCTTCATCCGTAGCGCTGGTTCTGCCGACTTCTTCGTCCATGGCATACGGGAGACATTATCATCGTCTGCACTCGCTTCAACTTCTTTTACGTCCGTCGTCTTTTACGTAAAAGAAGTTAAAGCGAGTGCAGACGATGATAATGTCTCCCGTATGCCATGGACGAAGAAGTCGGCAGAACCAGCGCTACGGATGAAGAGAAAGGAGAAGAATCGGATTGCTGGTAGCTGGTCGGGTGTTCCCAAGCCGCACTGATGATGTCTTCCACATAGGAGACGAAACGTTTGATAAATTGTTGGTATTTATGCAAGTCGGAGGTATTTGTTTTTAATCATGAATCCCGGCTTTTGAAACATTTTTGCATTGAAGCTCTCTCTCTAGAGCCATCAGTGAGCAGCGAGAACTCATCCGCTCGCGACCGCATGACCACGTGCTGGCGCAGCGCGAACAATATGGTGAAAGGAGGAAGGTCTCATCCGGGTCCGGCCACACCTCCGGCACTGTCCCCGTCCCCCTCCGGCTTCTGGCGGCTGTTCGCGGTAGTAGATAGAGCAGACGGTTTTGTGGACCTAGGATTGATGGCGCATCTAAAACTTCGTATAATAAAAGTTTTGTAGATGACACCAGGTTTTTGACGCATTTATATTCGTGTTGAAACAAGATTTATACAAAAGTTACATTTTATCGAGCAGGTATTCGCACAACTTGCTATCTTTCTACAAGATTCCCCATTGACGTCATGCCGCGTAGTTCTCATGGCTGCCGCTCGCGGCCGCAGGTTGGGGAATATTCCAGTTTCAAGTTGCTTCGCAATTACGCGGCGGAATCGCAACATTTTGAAGGAAGGAGGTGTGTTGTCTGCCCTTGGTGACAAGACAAAAATTGTCAAAAGTAAAAGATGCCAATTCTTTCAACGTTAAAATCGTTGCACAGCTCCTTTAAGGAGCCAGCGGAACTGCTGGCGGTGCAGCGGGAAGGGGGTGGGGTGGGGGACGTTGGTATGCGCTGGCCTAACGTTAGGCCTAACGTTAGGCTTAACATTACGTTTTGAAGTCTAACGCCGTCCACCGGTACCCTCAGCTAGGCTGGCGATGACGATGAGATGACACGTGATTTCAGTACGCTCCGCGCCTAGCTTCGCACTCCCGCCGCTGCCTCACAGGGGGGCAGCAGTCAAGAGCAAGCCAGGTCGGTCGGCGCGGCGCACCGCCGCACTCCCTGCCGCTGCTGCGGCCGCCTCTGCCCCTCGTGTCGCCGAGAACGATTTCGCATTCACAACTCTTAACAAGTGCTTAGGTGTCCTCGAAATGGTTTTTACCCGCGGCCAGCTTCCAATGTAAAACGAAGCTCTCTGTCTGCAGGACGAGTGGTACCAAGTGGACAACCCGCATATCCCGGTGACCCGCGCCATCCTGATGGTGGCTCTCCAGAACCTCCAGAAGATTTTGATCAGGGCCACGGACGGTCCGGACGTCAAATTTGCCAGGTGCTCTTTCCTTTATTTTTGTTTCCTCCGCGATCCGAGCCACAGAAGGTGTATATATACATATGAGCCAGTATGGCAGTAGAGTGGGCGATAGGGAATTTCTACACCCCGCCTGCTGACTAATTTATAAACTTTAACTTGCATAAGTCGTGACATTTAGCTATCGAAATGCGTTTCACAGGGTACAATTCGTGTAACGTATAAACGTCAGCTTGTATTAGTAGTGGAAGTGATCAAGATGTGGCTTGATTTTAAAAGTTAGTCTCAGAGTGTTTGTCTCAAAAATAGAGTGAATGAGTCATCAACCATGTACGGCACAAAAAAAGGTACCTAGAACTCACACTTGACTCCTTATGCTTGGCCAGAAATCAAGGATTGCTCCCAGGTTACAGACGGTTGTCATACCTCGTGATCCCACGAGAAACAGGAGGGTCATTGACTCATTTTAGGATGTGGTGTCTTCGGCAGCCTAGAAGACGTCTCCCTGGAGACTGCGGAGCCTCTGTCTCCACACGAGCTGTCGCCGTACTTGGCTTATGGCATAGAACAGGGACGGTGCCCCTTCCAGTATACGGCCTCTTCCTGCCAGGTGAGCTTTCCTGCGACCATTGACGTCACATTAGAAGACGCCAAAGCATTATACATTCCAGCGGCACACATAATCGTAATATGAAGTGCGGCGAGACTTCAAGCACACAATTGTATAGTTACAGAGATAGTCTAGAAGTATCGTGCTTGCCTGCACTGCTCAGCACCCAACTTTTTAATTATACGAATATATGTATTGCTTTTTTTTCAGTTTACTCGTTCTCCATTTTCTTCTTGTCTCTCCCCCTGGAAGAGATAGAAAATCGGGACAAATAACTCAGCCTAACACTTCTGTCTTCCATACCTATATTGAGCCACCCTGCGACTGCATACGTTTAGTGATAGCACCTTTTTACGAGAAGTATGAAACCTTTCTTCGTAAGCGAGACAAACGGAACCAGAGGGGTCGTCCAGAAACCACTGCAGGAAGCAGGATGACAAAGGTTCCCCTCAGCTCGCTGGCGCTGTGAAACGGTTAGGATCGTCAGAATGTAAATGAACGCTATGCTAGCTTTTCTTTTTCCATTTCCACGCAAAGCTCGACTTAGGGCATCCCAGTTTCCCGGCGCTCGCTTGTCGTGCATCACCTGATCTGAGCTCTCCCTTCCCGTGGGCAGGATCCTGCGGAGGGCTACTACCGCAAGTTCAAGCCGAACTACCTGGACAGCCGGGACATCCTGGACCTCGTCGGCTTCGCCGAGCCCTGCAACTGCAACAATCGCACCCGCGAGTGTCACAGGGAGACCGGCGTCTGCATCGTACGTGGCACACCGCCGCTCTTCCAATACCCCATAGAAAGCGAGGACGTAGCGCCGGAGTTCCGACGCAATTCATCGGGGTCCAGCGCGGGGCACAGACTCCACACGAGTGCTGCGTCAGCGTTAGCTTAAGAATCTCACAAATTGAGCACGAATCAGAGCCAAATGTTGATGTAGCACTCGTGTACAGTCTGTGCTCAGTCGTAACAAATAAAAGATCATGAGCCATTCATTCCATTCTGTGAAGGTGGATGACCAGCGAAGCTGTTTAGCTCACAACACAAACGTGACACAGAATTTTGAACAAAGGTACGAACACATTTATGCACGATCTTCATCTGCTGTGTTTGCCGCCCGCCGCCGCCGCTGACACTCTCGTTGCCGTTCCCACCGTTGCTCTTCATAGGCACGTTGCTCTTCGGGAGTCCGGACTATACGCAGCCTCCCCATTATGACGAGAGAAGTGAAATTGAAAACGGAGAACGGCAACTTGACCTTCTGTTTCTTTTTTTATATAAATTCCCGTGGACGATTATCGCCGCCCCGAAAAGCCGAAGCAAACAAGACACGCGCGACGGCACTGTAATCCGGCGGAAAGTAGACACGCGCAACGGGACCGCCACCCCGGGAGATCGGAAAGAAACTAAGCACGCAAGCACTTGGAACGACGACAAAGAGAGGCCGCTGAGAGTTTTTGTTGACGCACATGAAAAATCCACGGAACCCTAGTCATATAAAGCATTACTGTAAAATTCACCACCACGTCTTCGTAGTATGAGAGGCTCATCGCCTCACTCTTGGCGCCCTCCAGTCCGCCATTCAGTGATGGAAGTGCCATTTGACCTTTTGGAGCAGGCCTTGTAGCAGGCAAAATGTTATTTTGGAGCAGGTAGTGGCCCTTTTGGAGCAGGGTCCGGCATATGTTGGCATATTACTTGAAAATGAAATAATGCTGGATTGCCATATAAAGCCCATCTCTATTATTGGAACACAGCGCCTGTCGCCTTTTTAAGACAGGGTATATCAAATTCAACAAAGTAAACACACACAAAAAAAACATTTTTTTAAATAAAGTGTATCTGCTCGTCAGATAAAAAATACAATTAAATATGTCACACTGAGTTCTGATGGTACAGGATATTTAGTTTTATCAGCCTGCACTTCTTTTAAGGTATCTGCAGCAGCATCTAACGACCCTCACTGTTGTGGAATGTTTTAGTTCAGATTAGAGTTGTCTTTCGGGCAGCAGCTTCAAATATTGCGATATCTGATATTCGCTTCAAAAATTCCGATTCATTTTCGATGTGCTGGCGAAGTCACGATCGGATTACGGCGAGTTAACCCGTTGAGTGCGCTCCTTGGCATGCACCGACGCGCTGCAGAGAAGCGACACCCGCGGAGCAGATACCGCAGTCGCGCGAGTCGCGCAGTGCTTTGTGCACCGAAAAGAACGGTGAGGCTTTACCAGAACTACATCCAGAGTTTGGTGCAACTCAACTATACTTCGTTTCAGCTTCGGTGTGAGCGCAGCCAAAGTTACAAGCGCGCCGCGCGCATGGAGCCCGTAACGGTGCCGACGCTGCACGAGCCCACGCGCGAGTCAGGAATGCACAGAGCATTGGGCTCGCGCTAGCTTTGACTTCGCTGGTAGCTAGCGCATGGGAACAGGGCGGGCCTACATTAAAAACATCCCCAAGCTCGGCCTTTTTTTTTTTTTTTTTTAAAAAAATAGGCTGCTTAGTGGGATGATTCTTCGCTTAGCCTCTGCGGCTTTGGTTTCAGATGTTGTTAACGTTGTTCCTTTCAATGATGATGATGATAATGCACCCTCGCAGTTTCGGTTTGCGTAGCAGTTGCGGCGCGGAAAATACCGCGGCACCGCCACGCGCTCTGATAAGACTTCAATTTTTATTTTTTATTGCAACATCTCATCTCGGCGCAGGCATGGCGCAATTCTTCGGTAAAATGACAATTTGGCGCTACATGTAGCAGGATTGCGTCCTTGGCGCAATTTGGCGCAATTGGCGCAGCACTTCCATCACTGGCCATTACAAGGTGACGCTTATTTTTACAGAACTGCGGCGGAAACACCGTGGGGGACCACTGCGAACGGTGCGAAGAGGGCTTCTTCGGGACGCCGTCGCGAGGCCCCTGTTTGCCGTGCGCGTGCCCACTTCCTACCAACAGGTCGGTCAAAAGGACTGCCTCGTAGTCCGGAGAACCCTTACTTTCTCCTAAGACTGGAGCCCGTTCGTCCGAGTGCTGATGGAACCTCTGGTTCATTAGTTTCAGCAGCACCTGCCAGACTCATGGACCGGACTATATCTGCACCGACTGTCAAGAAGGCTACACCGGAAGGCGCTGTGAAAGGTGCGCACTGCTTGTTCCCCTACCGGGGCGTCAGTCTCAAAGCCGGAATGTATTCTGCAACTCAGCATATACTTGTTTCAACAAAAGGGACAGAAAGCAAAGCAAATCCACAGATGTCCAGTTTAAAAATGTATTTATTTATTCAAATAATTGTACATAGACTTCCGAAAGAGCGGCAATTTTAAAAATCATTGAGACAGTCACAAAGCTGCAGAGAACCATTTGATATTAATGAACGAATCAACCTATTATTTTAGTGATTATATAATTCAATATTTTTATTAATTTGCTTAGAAACATTTATTTACCTTCAAGGAACATGCATAACGGAAGAGTAATCACATAAAAAAATGGCAGTCCAAAACATTATATGCCATGGGAAAAACAATAAAATAAATTGCTGTCATTGTTCTAATCTCAAGAGAATAAATAAAAAAAACATTGCCGGCTGTTTTTACAAAAAATGCAAGAGTGTAGTTCAAGTCAATGAGCAATGTATTTGAATATGCTTCCTACCTATATCAGCCTACTACGGAGGAAATGTAATTGATACTAGGTACATTGTTACTACTATAGAGGAAATTTATTTAATTTCTACGGAGGAGGTATACATTGTTAATACAAGGGAGAAAATGTACTTAATACAAAAATGATTATTTCCTTCGTTGCGGTTACTGCTACTGTTTGATGAAGCTTTGTAAATACAAAACCTGCTTAGCTTTTGCAGTCCTTCATAAATTGGGTTATCAAACGCTGGCATCAATTTTATGGATATTATACGTAGGCAAGTTAAGATAGTACTGAAGTTTTATGTAGCATCAACTTTGAGGATTGAGGTACCAGTGAAAATTAAACTTCAAATAGCATCAAATGCTATTTGCACTAATATTTATTACCCGACTTTTTGAAAGATTGAATGTAATGAACCCCTCAACAACTACAAAAAATAAATCCATGATTGAAACCCGTCGAAACTATTATTTTGTGCTGTCAGCTTACGCATGGACAGTTGCAGAAAATAACATATCGGCCCATTTAATACAAATGACCATGACCCAGGCCCATTAAAATCAAGGCGAATCTCATTTTTCACCAGGTTTGCACTGCGTGATGGCGTGATGCAAAGTCCTGCCCCAGAGCCCTTCACTACTCTTCTTTTTTTTTTGTTTCTTCTGCCCACATTTTATAGTTTATTGCTACTCACTCTGCGCCCACCATTTCACGTCGGCTGTCGCAAGTCTCTCAGGCTGTTACCCTTTTGGGAGACGTGTGTTGTTAGTGTTTGACCAACACCTCCTAAATAACAAGGCCGTAGTGATGGGGTTTCTGCGTCACTTACTAAAGGCCAGCATTAAATTACACCCAGGGTGGTTTGACCGATTGAACAAAGTTGCAGACGCGCTAGCCTGGAGTAAGTGACGTCAAAGCTTTAGCACTGCGGCTTTCTTTTCAAGGAGGTACATGTTTGTTCGGCCCGCCAAAACTGCACAAACTTCATTTGATTCTCAACGCTCAGGTGCGCGGACGGCTTCTTCGGGAACCCTCTGGTCGAAGGAGGGCGCTGCATGCGGTGTGAGTGCAATCCTTACGGAGCTCAGGGCCGCCGCTGTGACCCCATCACGGGCGAGTGCCACTGCCAGCCTGGCATCCAGGGGCGAGACTGTTCCATCTGCTCGGCTCGGCACATCCTCACCGAGTACGGTTGCAAGTGTGAGTCACCTGTCTTCGTTGGAGAGCGTTAACAGCTTCGTCAGTGACGAAGAAGAAAGTAACAGACGTGCATTACGCGTAACTGTTTAGTATCACACGCAAGCAGCAGCCGAAGGAAGCATCAATGCAGAATGCTGGGCTAGTTGGTATTGGGATGTCAAGGGCATGCTAGCGCTTTTAGACGAGGACGCAGAAGAAACTAGACAGACATGAGCGAAAAACACAGAGACACAGACGAAGGGAAATGTTTCCCTTCGTCTCTTTCCCTGTATTTTTTCGGCGCTGTGTGTCTAGTCTTTTCTTCGTCCTCGTCTAAAAGCACTACCACGCCCTTGACGAAGGAATCAGTCTTTTGACCTACTGGCGTGATCTTGCAGGCAGTGGCGTACCAACTTGTTTAAGAGTGGGGGAAAAACCCGACCCCCCAACGCCAGGGCCGCGGGCGGCGCCTTTGTTATCCCTTTGTCGCTGCCAGCCAGTGTAACCGGTATTTCCGAAGGGAAATACCGGTTACAGTGCGGTTTTCGGAACAGCCCGGCGACCGCGCCGACTGACCGACGCAGAGAGCACGCTTCCCTGCGCGACACTAGATAACGGCGCGAGCCGCAACACGCGGCACTCGCGGGGCAAGGAGGGTGCTCGAAGAAGCGGTGAGGAACAGAGAGAGAGGCTTCAGTTGCCATAGCGACGGAGGGAAGCACGCACGTGTCGTTCACGTGCGTGCGTCCCTCCGCAACCGCAACGATAGGCCAATCGTAGGTCGAGGAGAAGTGTTCGCGCGTGTTGCATGCCGGTCGCGGGCCGGCTACTTCTATGCGCAAACGTGGCGTCGGTTGTGATTGTCGACGTAGACGGCGTGGTTCGTTCCGCGTAAAATCGCTATCCTTGACTGAATTTTCGCTGTGTGTCGCTATGATAACCCAACACGTACTAGAAGGGAAGATCCACCTACTCGTGCGGCGATGTCGTGGCGGCACTCTCAAGACGGCAGAAACGCCCGTGTCATCGTGTTCGTTTACTTCGACTACAGTGGTGACTTCTGCATTTGTGTTTTCGAACATCGCCCGGATTTCTTATTTGGACCATTTCATGCCTGTGCTAAAGTTGAAGGTATTACTGCCGCATACCGTATAAAGGATGCGAATTTTCACGCGTTTTCATCACCGGAGAAAAGTGATTAGGGTTAGCAATCCTGAACGCTAGCCACGTCCGTCCGCAACCCGCGATGCTGTTAAAAGGCTGCGCCAGGCAAAATTCATTAATTTCTTTCAAAATGTGTGGCACGCTTAAGAGAGAAGTGTACTATTCTGGTGAAGTAAAGACCTTCCGCAAACTATGCTTTATTTTTCATCTAACATAAAATAAATCGTTTTACAAGGTAAGTTGTCTTATGGCATGTATTTTGGCCTGAAAAATTGATGTTTTGGTTATAACGCGGTACCGCTTATAGTGCGGATTTTCATGACTCCCGCGACATACGCTATATGCGGTCTACACTGTATTACGGACCCCTAGAAACCCAAAGACTCCTAATGCTATGGTCACACTACGGACGCACGCGTCGATCTTTCTTAACACACGGTAACCTAAGCGCAACGAGCGAAACGAGTTCGTTCAGACCACGATTGCTTGTAGTCAGAACGAAATCGTTCTGCTTCTTGCGCCTACGTTTGCGTGTGTTATGAAAAATTTGCGCGTTGCGTCCGCAGTGCGAACGCAGCATTATTTCAGCCTTTTTCACGCTGATTTCTGCACACCAGAGCGTCGTCGTCTCCCTTTAATGCAATAAAAAATTTGGCAGAGACACTTAAGACTGCTTCGTGTAGGAATGCCAGAGCATTCCTACATGCTGCGCATTCCTACAAACAGCGCGCTACGTCTTCCATTTTCCCACGGCGCTCCGGCGGTAATATCACGCTACCCCACTGCGCAGGCGCGGCGAACCCCGCCGGCTCCACGGCTTCCGTGACAATGCATCAGCGTTGCTGAGCTTTTCTTTGTGTTTTATTTCTGAGGCGCGTCCTTTTTGACCTTGAGTACCCTGCAGGCTTCCGTGACAAAGAATCTGCGTTGCTGTGCTTTTGGCAAATGGGAATTCAGGTGCCGTTTCGCTGCTACAGACGGTTACAGACAATTCCGGCTTCGCTCCATCGGACAGTCAATGCTTTCTCTTTAAAACACGTCATATTGATGTTATCGCACCCATACATTGGTACAAGAGAACCTTGCTTATGAGGCGCTCCTTTTCAGCTTGAGGCCAGTCGCAGCCAACGCTACGAGCTAATATAAGCAATCAAGCAACGTCAAAACAAACGTCACTGGGCCCTTTCTGTTTATGGCTGGTTTAGCGATGATAGAATACGCACAGAAACATGACGAATGCCAAGATTATGTGCTTTTCACGCTGTCGGACTGGTCAAATCAGCTCGTCGGGTGTGTCTGCACTTAAGGTGAAACGAAGTATAGCTTGAAATCATAGATCGGCGCAGTTTGTCCCTGCGTCGAGCAGTTTCGCAGAGAAACTATCTTCACGCGCTCTCGTTTACAGCCTTTACAGCGCTAAACAAATCATTCAAGTCGTCTTATCAAATAGTAAAGTCCAAAAAACGCTTAGACAAAAAAAAAGTGCCAGGCGGCACTTAGTGGAGCACAACGTAATTTTATGCTTTCCAATCACTTGTTAGAGTGTAGTATGTTTCATTATAAGTCGGAGTGTGAGCAAAAGCTAATTGAAAAACAGGCACAAAAGCACAGGTTAAAATCTCGGTGTCACGACACAATATTTTCCCATTATTGGATCAATTAGCTGTAACAGACGCTAGAAACATAAAGAATGCCGTGATCTCAAACTTTAAGCGGCACTGAAGTCGATTCTGAAATCGTCCTTTTGCGGTAATAACTCAATTTAGACGCTCTAAGCATCCCAACAAACCCGAAATTACAATCGTGCGTAGCTTATTTCCTCGTTAAAAGCGTGTTCAAAGATCGCGTCACGCGCTTTTTGGGAAGAATTTTCTTCCCAGTGAAGTGGACGACGGAGGGCGCTTGTCGGCGAGTTGCAAGCGATGGCTTCGCCCGCGGAGAAAAAGAGGAGTCTTATCCAAGTGTGTACCTAACAGACTCTCTTTGAAACGAGTTTTAATAAAATCATTCGGAATCTGCGCGTATTGTAGGGCTTTCATTGGTCCACACAATGTAGTCCGCGAGAAAAAAAAGAATCCACATGTTTTTCTATTGCCCTGAGATGAATACGCGGTTTTGTAATATAGGACTTGTTATATGCGGGAACTAACACATTTTAAACAATATAAGATCAAAAACGACGTTTTTCAAAAATGACGGCGGTGCCCCTTTAAGTGCCAAATGCCGTGATTTAAAGTTTAAGAGGGCCGCACGCTGCAGATTTTTTCAATGACATGGGAATTTGGGGCATTTCATAATATTCCTTTACTATAATGATATGAGAATTTTAACAACACACACGAATGACACTTAAAACTTGAGAATGTCTATTAGAGTGGTAGCTGAATATAGGCGTTTCCTGGTAGCGAAATAGCGTGGCAGTGTGAGGCTCAAAACAGAAACGGTCCACTTTCAGCCTGCGATGACGACTGCACGGGACGCCTGCTCGACGACGTGGAGGAAATGCTGGCCTTGCTCGACCGCCTCAATGCGACGGACATTGTTTCTGCACCCTGGATTCACCTCTTGGCAATCCAGGAAACCACCCGCCTCATGCGTGTAAGTGCAGTGTGAACGCTGCGTGGCGATATTATCTCATATGGAGCAGGATTCATCGTCGTTTATCTTGGATTGTTGTCTATAGACGCTTTACACACGCGCCAGATTGAGCCGCCATAGCTGCCCTTCTCTTGTCTTACCGAGATGCCGAGCCACTGAAGCGGGCGTTGACGGGTCTTCACAAGGGCCTATGCTGGGCACAAGAACACAGTAGCATCTAAAATGGCAATAACCTGTCCTACTGTGGTAATGATGAAGTGAAGCGAACGGAATAAGAGGGAGCAAAAACTGAAGGTCAGTTATGGCGGCGCCCATGCACAGCTGCTGTAAAGCGTCTATACTCCTCGACAACTTTTCTTGGCAATGGAGTAGAAGGTACGTCCCGCGTCCCCTCTCCCATTTTGCGTGTACGCAGGCTCTCCTCCTCTCCCCGGAAATGGGAGAAAAGGAAAGCCTGCGTACACTCAAAATGGGAGAGGGGACGCAGGCCTGTACCTTCCACTGCACTGCCAAGAAAAGTTGTCGCGGAGTATAGATATTATCGGCCTGGCGCACTGCAGATTACGTTGCATTGTGGTTGAACTCTTCTGTCGCAGATAACCTAAGAGGGTGTGGCAAGGATCTCTTTCCGTAAGCAATGAGATTGCCGGATTAGCCTATTAAAATGAATCACAAAGCGTAAATATCATCAGCCACGCCCTACAGCTGCCAGTGACGTTAAGCGATGCCTGCTACTGGGATTCTCAAGTCAAGACACAAAGTCACCCTGATCCTGCGCTTACTCGAAATCAAAGAAAGGCCACTGTTGGCGCTACTGAGCAAAAGTAGGCTGATGAAATGTTGTAATTCGTTACAATTGCTCGTAAAGTAACGAACTAAGTTATCACCGAGTCTCAAAAGAAAGGCGTGGCTTCACCTCAACAGTCGTGCGTTGCTCTTCCAATCGTTTTTTTTTTTTTTTTTTTTTTTTCATTTTAAAGTAGCTAGTGGTTAGCATGCTAAGCTCAATCTGGAAACTTCGGCACGAAAAGTAAACATGTAAATTGATGTCATGTTTGGACTACATTGTTCATACGGTACTTTCGAATTGAAACACAACTGCCAGTCACAGCAGAGGTCAAGGACTGGAAACGAACCCTTGATTAGCTGAATATTTATATGAGCTTCGAAATTTCGTTGTACCATCCCTTTAAAAGGATACCACAACGAAATTTCGGCGTTTATTCTTTGGTCTATATGTGTTCAAAGGAGCAGAATCACATCGGACACACCAATATCCTGTTAAAAGACACGAAAAGGATTTTTAAAACCATATAAACGATTAGCAAAGAGCACCTGGTGGATGTCGCTAACGCCTCGTTTGTAATGCCCGTCTATGAACCTTGACAGTTAGGACGGCAACTCTCTCTCCTCCGGCCGCCACGAGAGTAGAGTGGAAGAAGGAACTCCCCTCTACTCGATAATCTTTTTTGTGTGTCCCAGAAGTCGCTATAGTCAAGATTATAGAAGATTAACCCGTCACTCAAAATTCGTACAAAAGCATGCCGCTTCAGTGGCTGCAGCGACTACGACATCCTCTCGACGTCAGCCTCGCCGCAGCTTTGTTCGTCCCGAGACGAACTACGTCACGATTGCGGGGGATGTCACGTGCTCTCCGCTGGCTGCTCTCCGAGCGCTTGCCAGATTTGCCGTATATAACGAACACAGCCACCAGGCCCAAAATACGAACGTGCGATTGTCATTTACGGATATTGTGAATCATATTCAACCTCTTTTTGAACATGACGGATATATTTCAAATTTGTTGAAGTATCCCTCTAAAGTATTCGCAAAAACACCCGGTGTATAAGCGTCCTAGCTTCAACATGCTACATGTAAGTAGGCTAGATAATTAAGAGACCTGTTCCTTTTTTCTTCTCTCAGACGGATCTGGACCGTTATTTGAACTTGGTGGAGAGCGGAAACCAGGTGTTGTCCAACTTCTCTTTCCACTTCAACCTGGAGACCCAGGCGGACATCCTGCTGGAGAGGGTATACTGTCTTCCTCAAGCACTGCGCTTTCAGGATGGCTGACTTGGCTACTCTCGCAGGCCCGTGACACCAGGCGCAACATGCCCGATGTGGTCGACGGGGCCTACCAGGTGCTACTCAGGGCCAACGAGCTTCTGGAGCTGATCAACAAGTACTGGAAGGAGATCATTGGTAGGTCCTCAGAGTGCCGCGAGTCACGATCCTTAGAGTGTACTCTGGCAATGCCATGCAGATGCCGTCAACCACCTGAAGAGCCACGGCATCGGGCACGGGGGTGCGGCCATAAGCATCGGCCACATTGTTGAAGAAGCCAAGCGCATTCTTCGGGAGCTGCAGAAGACAAAGATGGAGAAGCCCCTGGACGAAGCCCAGAGAGAAAACAGGTCCGTCTCTTTCGCTCTCGTCGCTTACGACGGTAGCACGAGGTCGATCCTAGTCGTACTAAGAAGATACACTCAGATCATCATATTTCTTATTGTCTGCTGCCGCAACGATCGTTATTGATATCATTATAAAGTAGGCAGAGCAACAGCAACTCAAGTTGTTGCTAGCCCTTTATGGTGCTTATTGTTTTGAATCTAATCATATGTAGATTTTGATACATGTACATACACATAGCTGGCTCTTGATGGCCATAAAAACATATTTTGCGAATTCCATTAATATATTACATTAGAAGATAAATTTCAATGCTTCTTGATTTCTTATTATTTACTTTCTATATAAACTAAACCACAAAATCAAAAAGGATAAGGAAGGAATCCAGATAAAAAGGAGGCTGAGGCACAAATTCAACTGCCAAAACGTGTTTTCATTTCGTTGATTTTTTTTTTTTGCACGTTAAAGGCATTAAATTTCTAAAAACTATTTTGTGTGTGTGTGTGTGTGTGTGAAAAAGGGGGGGGGGGGTGGAGAAGATCCCTGCAAGTGTATTATTGCCCTACAGGGTCCTAGATACAAGTCCACCAGTCGACCGCTGATAGCGTGCATATTTGTCCCCCAGGAAAGCCCACCAGCTTCTGGAACGCGTAAGGAACCTGGTGCTGAACCTGCAAGAAGTCGGAGACCTGTCCGAGCGGTTGGACCGTGTGGAGCGACTGCTGAGCGAGATGATACGACGCATCGAAAACGAAGTGCAGAAGCCTACGGCCAGGGCTCTGAGTCTGCTGGAGGGACAACTGCGCTCCCTGAACGCCATCCAGGTACGACATTCGCGCGCCCCAAGCACTGTATAGCTCCTCACTTGGCAATGCGCCCGAGTGCTGATCAGCTGGTCTTCAACCACGGAGCCATGCTAGGAGTTTCTGCTCTAGAGTAACCGTATATGATCCACTTGCGAAGCAGAGTTCGCAGCGGTCTAAATTTTTTTACTTCATTTAATGCGGGAAAGCGACCGTTGCTCTCACAGGAGGCACCACGACAGGAGGCGGCGATTCACCGTCTCCCAAGCATACCTCGGCAAACCTCACTCATGAGGGCCCTGTGAGTGTGGCTGTGAGGGTGAGGGTGAGTGAGGGCGACTTAAAATGCCGACCTCTGCTCCCAAGTCCCACGAAAGCGCGCTCGCGCGCTCACTGCGTTGTGTTGTTGTTTGTTTGTACACGGCCGCCATCAAAAAGCGCTTGCGTTATAAGAAAAATGCGATTATACTTGTCTAGGAGGCATACACACACCATGTCCGAGGGCTCAAGAATCTTCCTTAACAGACTTCAGTGTAATGTCTGTATTGCGCGAACGCAGTGCGGAAAATATGTTCCCGAACCCGATGCTAGGCACAGCCGCTCCCCCCCCCCCCCCCCCCCCCTTCCCTCCCTCCCTCCCAAACGCTTTCATCAAATTTGGCGCATGTGCCCCCTTTTCTGCCAATGAAAAGTTGGCGGAGAAATCAAAGGGAAGGCGATACTCTCGCTCCCCCATTCAGTCACCCTAGTCCGCTTTAGGAGCTCCAGAGCAGGTCTTCCGGTCTTGTGTTGGTTGACCTGCACTGAAGTTATCGTTCCGAAGACGGCACTTAAAACAAACTATACGCTCGTCTCCACCTCAAAAAAAAGGAAGTTTTGCGCATTGTTCATAGACCGCGCAAAGTAGTTCTCACGAGCTTTGGTTATCGGAGGAAAGCGCGATGCTTTTGGCCTTGGAAGAGTGTACTTCTGGATAAGATAACCTATATGTAATCTCAAATGCACCTATATATATATATATATATATCCTAATTCTCCTCATAAAGGGAGAAATTCATATTAGTCATGCTCCGAAAGGAGCAGGCCTTTTTTTTTTGCCATGGTTCATGAGGGGAAAGTGAGTAGAGTTTGTGCATTGTATTGCCACTTGGTAGACACCGCACTTCCGCGCCCGTTTTTAAAAGAGGCCTACATATCTGCTTTCCCCCACACTACGCTGGAGCACTGTGCATTAGGAAAGAAAACCAAGTATACGGGAGAACAGATAAAATCTAGGTTACAAAATAGCGAGATGTGCTGAGCTGACAGAGAGAGAGAGAGAGAAAATGTAATAGAATAGAGGTATTAGCCTGGGCTTGGGGCTTTGGCAGGCTTATGTGAGAGCGAGTACCGATAGTTAAAGTTGATCAGTTGAAGATTAAAGATGAGAGAGTGACGCTTACAGTGTGCTTAGTAATCTCATAAAAAAAATGAAAGCCGTTTACCATTCCCTGCAACGCCGGATTAGAGCGCAGCTCTTGAGGAGGAGGATGGAAGCGTACTGAGGGATAGGTGACCCTTGCAGCCACGTGACCTCGGCGGAGGGTGGGGTCGTGTGAGGTCAGGGGGGTCACGTGACCTCGGGGGGGGGGGAGGGGGGGAGTCGCGTGACTTCATGGGGGTCACGTGACCTCAGGGGGTCACGTGACTTCAGGGGTGTCACGTGACCCTAGGGGGTCACGCGACCTCGGGGGAGTCACGGGACTTCGGTGGGGGGCACGTGACCTCCGGGGGCACGTGACCTCCGGGGGCGCGTGACCTCGGAGTCACGTGACCTCGGGGTCACGTGACCTTTGGTTGGTCGCGTGACCTCGCGGTTACGCTGACGCTGCTCAAGCCGGAAACGGGCCCCTAAGAGCTGCGCTCTAAAATAAAAGCTGTTTACAACTCCCTGTAACGCCGAATTAGAGCACAGCTCTTAAGGAGGAGTAGGGGAAGGTGCGAAGAGGGGCTACGCCTTTCCTCCTTTCATGCTCACCTCCCATTTAGGGAAAAATTTTCCTCTAAATTTGGCGGGGAGATTTTTCCACTAGATCTAGCGGGGAATTTTTTCCACTAAATTTAGCGGGGAAAATTTTGCACTAAATCTAGCGGGGAATTTTTTCCGCTAAATTTAGCGGGGAATTTTTTCCGCTAAATTTAGCGGGGAATTTTTTCCGCTAAATTTAGCGGGGAATTTTTTCTGCTAAACTTAGCGGGGAATTTTTTTTTTTTCTAAATTTAGCGGGGAAATTTTTCCGCTAAATTTAGCGGGAAATTTACCCATCACGCACCGCGCGGTTACACCGACGGCGACGCCGATGCTGCTGAAGCCGGAGATGGCCGCCTAAGAGCTGCGCTCTAAAAGCTTCGGAGTGCCGTACAATGTTTTGATAAAAGACCGCTCTTACACAGTGAAGCTAATTTCGTAGCAAAGTTTCGGCTGCCAATTTAACTCTGAAGCTGTCTGTAAAGCAGTCACTTAAAGGGGCTCTTACACGGTATTTATGCTCACCAAGGTTTTCATTTGTACATGACATACAAGAGCCCAACTACCCAGAACACAATTTGCGTCCTTGAATACCAGCTGAACGTAGAGGAAAAGCGAAGGAGAGGGGAAAACAAAGAACCAGGCCGTCACAATTTGCGGCTCGAAATTCGTTTTATTTCCACCCAAAAATTGCCGATCGAGAACTGGCCGGTTTGAGTCGCGCTCACTCTCTTCTCCGTGGTCAGGTGCTGTTCTCCATGGTTTAGAGTAGACACAACCACCAAAAGATAATCGAAGTCATGGGTCATCGAAGGCAGACACTCAATACTAAAAATAGACAAAAAATATGATTCCCATTTTTTTGTAACTTGTAAAAAGCTGCAAATATGTTGATTGAAAAAACCAAAGAGTGGCACAGTCACATCACTTTCTGTAACTTTCTCCTCTATATTTCTTCGTCCTCCCCACTATAGTTTCCGGTTTGGTTTAGAGCAGTTGCGTTTTTTTTCTTTTTACTTTATTAGAGATGTATCTGACACTGTAGCAAAATATTGTTTGGGTACATTCTTCTGACACAATAATAGATCGCCTGGGGATAATTGAAAAAAATGTGTGGGGGGGGGGGGGGGTCAATGTCCCTTTAAAGAGCCATCGACAGCGGGCCTGAGGCTGTTATATATAAGTTCCTTCTACTAAATGCTCTTGGTTTCGTGCCTTTTTTAGATATAGGGTAGCGTTGCGATATTGTGTCATTGGGCATGTGCATAGTGAAATCTCCTCGCTGGCATTCCTATTTAGACGCGAAATTCTAACCTTTTATATCTCTTTCAGAATCTGATAGACGGCAGCGTGGGCCAAGCGGAGAAAGCCAATGCCTCACTTGTGGAAGCACGAGAGTGGTTGAGGAAGGCCAAGGACGCCATCATCGATGCCTCCTTCAAATTTGACGTAAGCATTTTCTGTAGTAAATAAGGAACCACTCCTCGCATGAGGCGGACATTGGAGAAAACGTAAACGTTTTGCACACCAAATGCTTGTTACGATGGTAAGAAGAGCCATGAGTGTTAAGAATTTTTCCAGTATTTCTAAGAAAACCTTTTTTTTAATCTGAAGCATGCTTACACAAAACAAAATTCTAAATAAAAAAAAAAATACTTGCCTCGAGCTCCTCTTTCTCACTCATCGAGTTATTTTACACCGAACGCTTGACTCTAACCGTACAGTCAAGCTAATTTTCTTGAAAATTTCTGGGCAATGGATTGCGCGGATCCCCAAGAGTTTGGCCGTCTATACATATGGCCGATGCATTCTTAAAAGCCGCAGGTTGGTGCCTGTGTCTTCAAAAAAAAAAAAACCCGGCCAACCCTCCCAAGGGCGACTTCTTTAATAAAAGAAACGATATCGAGCAGCTTTTTCTTTAAGATGAACGGTTTATTTCTGGGTTTAATAACAACTGTTATGTCAACACAATATAACTGAACAATGCTTCGCCCATGAAGTCACGTTTCTCTGCAGACCCCCCCCCCCCCCCCCCCCCCCTTCCCCCTTGCCTGACCCATAAGTTTTCCCCCTGATTGACCCTGAGCTAACCTTTTCATCACCTTCAAACTTTGAAAGTGTTACTAAAGCGGTTCCCTTCAAGTTTTCATCCCTATGGATGGTGCGTCGCCACCAGTGTTCTTTCTATCACGCCCGCTTCACATCTTTCTGTGCGCAAAGAGGTACTCTCGTATGTATTACTGCGTTATTATTATTATTTATTAATACTGTTCACCCGGAATCGGGTTGTTACAGGAGTAATGGTTACAAAAACATACAAAATACCGGTATGACGAAATGCACGCTCTTCAATCAGACGCGTAAAAATGATCAAAACCAGTTACAGCACAGAAGTAATATGCAGAGCAAAAAAAACAGCAAGATTGATTGTTTAGGAAACATGAGTATAGAGTTAAATTACACAATTCTAGACTTCTATAGATGCCACTGTACAATACATCAAATCATGTATGACAATATAATCACAGATAAGGCAATACAGCACCAACTCAACAATATGATCTAAGTAACAGTTCGACATACAATTACGTTAAGGCTCGGTCGACAAAGTAAGCAGATTGTTCATAAAATCATCAATGCCATCACAATCAACTATGCTCTGTGAAAGGTTATTCCAATCTAGGATTGTTCTGGGAAAGAAAGGAGTACTGGAAAGTGTCATTTTTCGCCCTTTCCACCACAAGTTCCGCGGTGTGGCCTTTCCTAAGTGTTCTAGATTGGCGGGGTTGTAAGAACCTTGAAGTGTCAATGTTAAACAAATTATTTTTTAACATAAATAGAAATTTTAACCTTGCAGTTGTCCGCCGGCTAGGAAGAAGTGGCAGATTGAGATCTTTCAGCATACCTTTAACGGAGTCGGTTCTCTTATATTTAGCTAAAATGAACCTCGCTGCCATTCTTTGAACTTTTTCTAGATTATTAATTTGGTATTGTCTAAAGGGGTCCCATACAATTGAACAGCTCTAGAGGATGCCGCCAATTTGCTACATCTAATCAAAATTCAAGCTTCATTTCAGCGTCTTTTCAACGAAGATATATGTTGGACACTTGTGTTCAAATCTCTGCACACTGTCTATAGCAGTATTATTTGTACTTTATTGCTTAGTTCAGTGTCACGAAAATGTATTATTTTGCTATATTTGAAGGGTTGAGCACCCTGTCACCTTGAATAGGGTGTTTGCACATGACGTCAATCCGCCATTTTGTTGTTAGTTTGTTTTTCAAACTAATTCACTAATTTGAAGGATGACTGCATCGCAACCGGTTGAGATGTCAGCGTGGTAAGACATAAGCTTCTGAGCTCTACGCATTGGAGGGGTCATATAAATCCTTGGAATGCTCGAGTCTGGCTAGCGCCAGACAGCTTACAACAACAAAATGGTGGACAAATTACGTCACTGAAAACATGGGCGATCATATAGGCGAAGTTTTAAAGCAAAATTGAAACCAGGCACTTGATCGATTAACGATTTCGGAACATAATTAGTCAGTTATTTTGTTTCCATGCTCTCAAGGTTCTGAAGTAGAGCAAATGTAAGTGTGATGGAACGAATTAACATAGTTTGGCTTGGTTTTGTAGCACCTTAGTCCGCACATTTCTGGTAACCCTCCGATTCACGCCTGCTTTGCAGGAGCTCCCCAGGCTTCTTGCGGAGCTGCAAAACGACACCAACGCCTTGGAGGAGCGACGGGGCCTCCTGGACAGGATCAACCCCGAGTACCGCGAGAAATACGTCAAGACGTGCCAGCGTCACGCTGCTGAGATGATGGCCGAGGTCGGACGCCTGGCCGAGTGAGTTGAACTTGCTGCACCTTGTGGAGTTTTAAACTGCAGACATTTTCAAATAGGCCCCACTAGAGTCTATCTGGCAACCTGTCCACATTAGCACCCACGGGAGGGTCCGATTTCTCGCAGTTCACACCAGACTAATGAGAAGCCACACATACCACAAAGTGTACCGGGTTTCAACGGCGGTTACCGTTAGAACTAGCATACAAATTCCGCACGCGACACAGTGAGTACCAGTAATAAGGAGAGGCTCATCAACCGACATGTTCTTGAGAGCTTGCGGGCATTCAAACGCACTGTGGATATCTAAAGCACCAACGCGTACAGGAACCCCGGGAGACACCTGATTACTTGATGTCTCATGTGTGTGATTGGCCCATGTATTCTTTTTTGGCCATCCTACATGTCTCTCTATGATACATGTGCCCCAGAGTCCCGCTATCATGGGCAATGATCATTTCTGGAAAATTCCACAAGACCTCTCGTCAACCCCACATCGCGCCACACGGTGAATTGTGGGGACATACCGATGTACGGCCGGCGCGTATGCTACATCCTGGAAGTGACTCAATTCCTTCTCTCTTATCACAGCGAGTTCAGAACACAAAGAAAACAGAGCGAACAGATCACAAAGCCGATACATGCCCTCTTGCTATCGTCCTGCTTTTTGGTGGCCGAGTGGGAAGCGTACACCAGCTCGGAGCACGTGGAGCGAAAGCTTGCGCTGCAGAACCCAGGATCCTGGGCTCAATCGCCGCCTCTGCGCATTTCGATCTGTATGTGCATTGTACGGGTACGCGGTCGGCCATCACTACTGTGTGATGCACGCAGGCTAGCGGTTGTACTGAACTGGCTGAATTTCTCATCTACAGCGAGTGAGTCGTCGCAACTTTGAAATGGCTGACTGCTGTATAAATATCCCCACAACCCCAAATATTAATTATTATTTAAGTTCTTAAATCGTAAATTTGTAAGAAAAAATAGTTGCTCGTTTGGTCATTCTGATAAACGCGTTTAAATGCTTCATAGGTGGATTAAGCTCTTTGTTCGGGATATGCCTAGGGCAGGATGACCCTTAGTCCTTCAGTGCCTGGGGTGGATAGTGCTCTTAGCACAGGTGGTGCCTAGGGCAGGGATTTGTATGGAAACAGATTACATCACACCATTGTCTCTGTGAAGCTGTGCACGCTTCCATTCAGCACCACCCGGATAGAAAGCCTTTGCATTGAATTTTCTGGGTCACCAAGAGAGGGGAAGTGCGCTTTCCTGTCCTTTCCACTCCTCTTCGTTCTGTGCGCTTTTTCTGCGCCACCTGCTTCTGCTCCTCCCGTTCCTGCATGCTGGGTCCGTAGCTCAGTCAGCAGCGCACTCGGCTTCCACGCCGGCGACCGGGATTGATTGTCTGGCACCAGTTGCCATTTGTTTTTTTTGTTTTTAGAGTGCAGCTCTTAGGCGCCCGTTCCTGGCTTGAGCGGCGTCGCCGTCGCCGTTGGCGTTGCCGTCGCCGTCGGCGTAACTGCGAGTAACCCTCGTAACCCTCGTGAGGGTTACGGGGGTTACGAGGGTTACTTTCACGAGGGTTACACTCACGAGAATCACGAGGGCTACAAGGCCCTAGTAGCACCGAATGTTGCCACAATGTTACTGGAATGTGGTCCGCCAACGTTGTGTATACGTGGCTAATGTCCGCAAAATGTCATGTCGCTGGAACGTTATCTGAAAACATTCCCGTAACATCACAGTAAACATTTGTGCTATGTTATGCCCTCAACATTTGTGCTATGTTATGCCCTCAACATTTGTGCTATGTTATGCCCTCAACATTTGTGCTATGTTATGCCCTCAACATTTGTGCTATGTTATGCCCTCAACATTTGTGGTATGTTATGCCCTAACATTAGTGGAACATAATTTATTAACATTGTTTATATATTTCCAATGACCACACAGCAAACATTTGTGGTATGTTTTGTCCTCAACATTCGTGTAACATTAACTTGTTGTCTCAAGTAGCAGCCAGGCTCTTTAAATCAACCGCGAAATTTGGTTTCTTAACCGATTGCGCTAGGAGTTTTTGCAGCGTTGCCCACAGGCGGTGCATTTTTTTATTATAAAAATTGCAAAGAGCGAACTTACCTGAGGAAAAGTAAAGAAAGAAAAAGGGTTAACTCCTTTGGAAATTCAGCGAAGGCACCAGTCTTCAAACAATAGGGCGCCCTATTTTTGAAGACCGTTGGCTTCGCTGCATTTCCATAGCAGTTAAGCCTTTTTCTTTCTTTATTTTTTCCTCAATTAGTTCGCTCTTTGCAATTTTTATAGAAAAAAATACACCACCTGTGGGCAACGGTGCACAAAATCCTAGCGCGACAGGTTAAGAAACCGAATTTTGTGGTCGATTTAAAGAGACTGGCCACTATTTGAGACACCTAATATATTGCCAATTGACCACTACTTTTCTACATGAGCTACATTATAAAAAAATCAATTTACCCACAACAAGGACAGCTAAAAACGGACAAGCACATATACATAGCCGCAGTGTGCTAGCTTTGTTTCTATCTTTCCTCGTCTCGGGCAAATTAGTCGCAGACTAGCTCTCTCAGCGATTTCACCCCACCTTCGCCTGTGTGAAAGTCGTTCATCAAATAGCACTGCTGCTGAACCGCTCTAAGAAGTTATTCACTTCACTTGAGAAAACGTGAATACTCTTTTCTGTAATCTGCTTTCAATCATGTCGATCTATCCCAGTTTTATTTCGAGGTATAGCTTTTATAAAAAGCTCCACTTTTTTTTTTACTTTTTTCAGCCAATCAAAATGTTTAACTTTCAGATGTTTGTCACTCCAATGTTCTTGCACAAGAATTTTCTGAGCAGAGAAGTCACTAAAAAAGACATTTAGCCTAATTGTGAAGTAAACTTTGTGAGGGAAAAAAAAAAATCTTTCTTACGTGACAGAGAAATAAAGAACTTCTGATGATCTTAAAGGACAAACATTGATTTTAATTCCCAAAATAATTAGCTACCTAACCTAACCTAACCAACAAAGGCTAGACACATTTAGCTAATGAATGGGTATATTGAAGATAAAATGTCTGTCCCAAGTTGCCTTAATACCCAAGTTGACACCTTAGTAACTGTTGAGCACAGCACTTGTTGACAACATGTCGGTTACCAGAAATGTAGCCTGTAATATATATGCCTCGCGGAACTCCAAAGCCAAATTTAGCAGCTATACTCCGTTTCACCTTCAGTTGAAGCGCAGCATACACTACGAGCCATCCCAGTCAATTTAGCGTCAAGTCTGATGCGACTTTGAGCTCTGCCTCCCGTTCCACACAACTGGAAAGTCATGTGATACTCTTCCGGCGCTGGATCAGCTGGGATGGCCCATACCGTTCACTATGCTTTAACTTAAAGTGAAACGGAGCATAGTGGAGACAGCACTGTAACTATTCAGACTCAATATTTCGAAATTAATTAGTGTTGATTTTCATTTCTTTTATATTAAACTTTCACAACCCACAAAAGTAAAAGGTTTCATGGATTACCAGTATCCCCAACCATTGGGCAATTGATTTGCATGATAACTTCTACAATTTTTTCTCCAATTGCAAGATTCTGAATTATTTTGGAGTGGATTATCTACTCTCTACAGCAGAAGACTGACTAATAGAACATGCATATCACAAGAGGAATCCCCCCCCCCCCCCCCCCAGACTGTATAATTTCAGCAATATTTTCACTTTGTGACACAATTTAAAGCAGTCCTCCACTCTACTTTTCTCTCTCGCATCTCCTCGTGGCAAGCAGAGAAGGAAGCAGGGGTTGCTGGGAAAAGTATGCACATCCGTCTCCATCACTTCCTTCCAGCCAATAGGAAGTTACAAAAAGAAAGCTATCTCCTTGAAATAGCAACCACTTTTCAGGCAACCATGTAAAATCAGTCTTGCCAAAATGAGTCTTGCACCCTAAATAGTTATACTTTCTTTTTTTTTTCAAGGAAAATGCATTTTATGACATGGGTGTCCTATCCATGTCATTCTAACTTGTTCTAACTTTTTTAGTGGCCCTCTAAGAGGCACCTGTCACTGACCATAAAGTAGGACGCTTAGAGGAATCCAAAAGATTTGTTGAAATAGGGTTTATTTTCATAAATCTTCCAAGTTTTACATTGCACTCAGTAGAAGCTGTAAGCTCAGCCAACTTGATTAAAATAAACTGAGAAAACATCACGAAAAAGGTTGCAGCAACAGGACCAGACATATACTGCGGAAACATTTGCAGATTCACTAAGAAACATACTCAACTTCTCAAAAAGTATAATGAGTGGTAACAACCAAGCTTAAGTTAGCAGAAGAAACATGTAGTTTGAAAGTAACTTTGAGTTAAATAAAATTGACTAGATATATAAGCAAAGGTGTGTTACAAACGGATCATTCTTGCATCCGTAGGGCAACTGCAAGAGGAAAAAAAAAAGTAATTACACAGACGAAAATTATAACAAAAATGTTTACATCCTATTCATAGGCAGTATCGACGTTTACCAGGAATAAATGTGACAGCTACTCGCTTAGTTCTATATACACAGATATTAGATTGTGAAAATAGTGGTAAATAAGTTCAATAAAAAAAAAACACTAGAGTAACCTGCCACTGATGTTACCATATCTGTTGCTGCTCAAAGTTATCATAAAACAAACATATGTCATATTAATGAACAGAGAAGGAAGAGGAACAGTTACATAAAACTAGAGGGCACACAGTCCCTTATCGCCATCTTGAGCGCAGTGTCACCCTTTCTCTACACCAAGTGTCATTATTAGCTGTAGATTACTCCCAGAAGTCAAAAACTTATTTTCGGGAACCTCAATGAGACAGGCAAATGTCCTGCTTGTCCTCTGTCAATAACATAAACGTCATAATTATTGTGATCAATAAATTACATGGGTCCCCACCCCCTAACCTAAAAAAAGCTGTGCACATGGCAGGCTTCATGTTGCTTG